GAAAACATTGGTGAATGCCACAAATTCTCCTAAATCACTCGTACGCACAATTTAAGAACAAATCTGTGCGTACGAACGGTTCTTGCATGAGGCCCAATGTGTTACGTAACTGTAGGGTGAAAGGTCTGAGGTGGAAATATGCAACAACGTGACAATGTGATGTGAATATTTGAAACCTTCCAATTGATAAGCAATCTGCTTGTGACTTCTAGTTGACAGCTCTTATCTGCTCATACGAGTTGGCTTCTCTTTAGTTTATACCAGCGCAGCTTTAAAATCTAAAATGAAAAGACTTGAAAAAYGTCACAACGTTAGAACTGTGAACTGGCCCTGACTAACTGTGTTAGTGCAGAGATACACTGTTTGGTTTGCAGCAGGTTAAGGCACATGTCTTCCTTTTGTGAGAGCTTTGTGAATCAGTCTGATGCACAAAATCCTTTAGTGCTTGCAAAACCAGAAACCTTTGGGGGATTTGGAAAACTTGGCATGCCAATTCAGAGAAGCTTGTTATGTCTTTATGCCATTTTATTTGCCATCATCACTTTGGTAACTGTGGCAGGACTTCTCTGACTACCTTTCAGCATAAACGGTCTGGCTCCTGTTTTACAATGGCAGTTTTGTTCCTCTAAGCTTTAGTCCAGCATTGCCCTCAAAGCTTCATTGTGAAATTTATGTTTATCAGGATTAAAACTAAAACACCTTCTAAAGAAATGAGGCACACTCAGTATATACCCTTCAGTCCACAGCAACAGAATGAAAAAGACGGCACACTGGCTAAGGGAAGAGAAGCTTTATACCAGCATATTCAAAACCCATGAAACTTCTCAGCTTATTTACAAAAACATAATACAAGATTAAAAAAGAGAAAATGAACACATCACAAATGAATTCCCACATAGTGCCACGAAAACAGAAACGTTAACCAGTTTACTAACCCACCTTCCTGTACTCCCGCTTATGGCTTCAGTCGAAAACAAAACCAAAACAAAATTCTTCCATTCAGCTGGGAGGGCGTGTTTTCAGCCCATACATCCATCTTTTAAATATTCCTCTCCAGATTTATATTCAAATAATAATAATCATAATAACATCAAAATACACATACAAGACAGAGGAGCTACATTTGTGAGCTGTACACGTTGAGTTGGGTGAAGAGGAGAGGAGCATGTTCACAGAAATGTAGACTTTTTTGTATATGATGACAATCGTGGGCTCTGAAAGCTTTGTAAAACTGATTGAAAAKAAGCTCACTTGAGCTTCTCTAACAACCAACTCTTTAAATCGTACTAAAATCACAGTTTAGTCGGATGATGGTTGTTTAGGAGTGACCAGTGCTTTAGAAGCTTATAGATTACATCCTTCCCTAACAGTCTCTGTTTCTTGGCTGGAGATTTGACAGATTTCCCTTCGAGAGAACCTGTTCCTGCAGGATGTAAGCTAAGGAATGATTTGGATCCAAATTCAAGGAAGAAGTTTCTGCGGACAACGAAATGAAGAAACAAGTCTGTTTTGAAGAACCTTGTTTTGCAGTTGTGCAGTGCAAATTTCCCCTAAACTCTTCGAACGTAATGCAAACTGCAATACCATAATTTTTTTTTTTTTTTTGCAGAAAATGTGCTTCCTGTAAAGGACTGTCAAATTTGAGTCTGCACTCTACACGTCATCTTTGTGCAAACTTACCAAACTTCCTACATACCGCTTTCACTGTGAATTAAATAAAATACCTGATCTAATATGACTTAAAGGGTATTGTAATTGTAGAAATTGTACAATGTTCAGATAAAAGTTTTATTTTCTTAAATAACATCTGGCTGTCATTTGAAATAAAGCAGCAGAGAAGGTTTTGTGACTGATTCTTAAATCATGATTAATGCAGACTATGATTTGCATGTAAATCATCTCTTTAAATGAGACAGAGTGAAAAWTTTTTGTCATCATTTTGGAAGAATTTAGAAAAGATTAGACAACTCTTCCCATGATGTAAATCCGAAAAATGTAATGTCTTATAATTAATAATGGTAGGTCTAGCTTAATAATAGGTCTAGCTTTAAATAACTTCCACTCAATTCTCTATTTCTCTTGTCATCAAGAAAACATTTTGTTGACAAAACAGAAGCGATGATGGCCAGTTAGATTAATAAATTATTCATACTGTCTGGATTCTCTGGCATCCTGTCATTTTGCTTTGAGGGGTATTGGATTCCGTGATACGATGCAGAAGGCAGGAACATCTGTTGGATGTGTATATGCTGTCTCTTACACACTGAATGCAAATATACAGAGTTCTCCTCTGGCTTTTTTCAGTAGGTTTCCTTTTGCACAGTCTCGTAGTTGTAGAGGAAGAACTGATGAATGTAGCCGAGTCACCACTCAGAAGGAAACAGGAAGGAAGAGACATGAGCAGAAACCATGGAGGGGGGTGGGGGGGGGGACGTCTGGAGTGACCATGGTGGAGGAAGAGTCACTGGCCTGGATGACATCATATCGTGTCTCTCTGCTGTTTTTTTTATTTTATTTTTTTGTTGTAGTTGTTAAATCAATTTCCCCAAAGCAGGTAACTGAGCGACGGACCAAAGCCTGCTTCCAGAGTCTTCACACGCTCATCGTCATGTTCGGAGAATACTGCAGAAAAAAGTTCAATGGAGAGAAATAAGACTGACTGTGTGCATCTTTGTAACCTTAAAAGTCTATAAAATATTTTAAAAACACACATTTTATCTGTTATTCAGCCCAGATTTAGTAAAAAGGACAACACTATTTCCCCTTATTTCACACAAGGTGACCCTCAAGGCTCACTTCAAGGACCCGGTCCTTTAAAATGTACATTAACAATGTGAGCCAGAATCTAAAAGCTACATCATTATTTAGTTATGCTGACAACATGGTGGTTTATTGCTAACACTGTTATAAGACAACAGAAATAAAATACTGGAAAGTTGTTTCTGTTTTTGTTATCCCTTTATCTGTTATTATGACTTCCTAATTGTAAGTCCGTGGTTTGTCTTATGTGCTTTCTTGAAACAAGAAGGCTCTTTGAAGAATAAAAAAAATGTGTCTCAGTGGCATTGCTTGTATAAATGAAAGAACTAAAAGTTGGGCAGCATAGCAGAAACCTTTTCTACGGCAACTATAAAGCTGCAGTCAGCAGCTGCTGAGTTGGACAAAAAGACACAGAACCATGGGGACACAGTCTGGCTCCACCTCAGTCAATGCTCCAAAATCAATGTGTCACAACTTGTTTTTCTTTTCTTTTTTGTTTTATTTTGTGTATTATTGTTGTCACTGAGAGTGCACAGAAGCCACACTAAAGTAACTGCAGAATTAACCATGACATTATAGAAATGCCTTTCTTTAAACGACTACAGTTAATTTTATGAGAACTGTSAGTGGAGACACATTTTTGACTCCTCTAATTCAGGGGTTCTCAAACATTTTGGGTCTGGGGACCCCTTACAAGGGCGAAAACAATTCCAGGGACCCCCTCATAAACCCCATGCTGTTTTAAAAGATAATTTATTGTCATTGCAACCCCTAAATGCCATAGGAATATAAATTTTTAATTAAGTTTATTATGTTTGTTTTATCAGTTCATTGTTCTCCATTCATTTTAAAAATAAAAATCAAATGAACATTTTAGTAAAAAAATTTGAGGACCCCTAAGTTACTTCTCACGGACCCCTGGGGTCCAGGGACCCCAGTTTGAGAACCACTGCTCTAATTTCTGTTGTCGGTAACTTACACTTTCATTCTGAAAAGGGTTAAGGAAGTTTCCTCCCATCTCTCCGTCCTCTCTGGGTGTCCCCGGTTGGTTGCTCATACTTAAGTTACCAGGAGAGTTCTGTTTAATAAAATAAGTTGAACTTCATCAGTAAAAAAAAACGACCATTTAAGAAGCTACACATAAAATCAGAGGTGCAGCACAAAGAAAGAGCTTGTCATACCTTAGAGATACTGTCCATGTCACCTGACCCTAAGGAAGAGGACAGACATCAGACTAAAACTGCCCTTTCCAAATAAGTACTCAGATTTGAAGATTTCRGTRATGAACAAAAAAGCAGAAAAGCATCAAGAAGCACAAACTGAGGCTCCTCTTTTACCTATCGATCCGTTCATGTGATGGGGCTCCATTCCTGCCAKCCCTCCTAACGGACCGTCGCTGCCTGCACCCATAGGGAACTGAGGAGAACATCAACAGAAGGCAGTGAAGTACAGGCAACACAATACACAGCACTGTGTTGTGYTCTAACATAGAAAATATTCATAAGACAAAGAAAAAAGGTCTCACATTTGGTCGGCTTCCGCCCGGGGGGACTGTGTTTATCATGGTGTACATGTTGTCACCAGAGTTGGTTGAATCTAGGATAGATACAGAAACAGTATGAGGACAGGGTTTATTTAATTTTCTCCAATTAGTCATGAAAGGATGTGCAGGTCATACCTGCTGGACTTGGCATTATTGGGGTTCCAGGTGCCCCCCCTCCTCCTGGAGGTCCCTGAAATTGGTTTACTGCATCAGTGATTGAACTGGGGGCTTTTACAAAATACATTTTAAACACAATCATACGTACCACATAGCTTCCTGGAGATGCAGATGAGTAAGGTGTCTACAAACACAGAAAAAAAGGAAGAACTTTAAATAAATTTAAAATAGACATGAAACTTTTTTTAAATTGACATTTAACTTTAACATTTTTTTTTTTTACTTGGTCTCTGTTTTAGAGCTTACAGAGTTGGAGTTTGGAGGATTTGGCCAGGGTCTACCACCACCAGGACCCCTGGAACACACAAACACACACACTTTTAGTTTGGCAGGCCTCATTGTTTCTGGCCAGAATTGGCAAAAACAAGATCTTTTGGTGCCAGAAAAATGGGAACAACTAGAAAAAAGACAAATACAACAAAAGATGACCAAAAAGTGGAAAGTCAACACTTGGTCTCACAGTAAATTAGTAGTGAAAGAGAATAAAAGCCATGGGGGAGGGGGGGTGGAGGGGGCTGAGTGTGGGGAGAAAAACAAAATAATGGACTTTTCTTGCTGCCCTTTAAAGTAAGAAAAAATGTGCCACAGTGTGCTACTGTGTACTGTGTACTGAGTACTGTGTAAATGTGTGTGTTTCTATTATTGTTGCATCACTCACATGCTCATACCAGGCATCCCTGGGCCAACCAATGCATTGAGTGGCGGTCTCATTCCTCCTCCATAATTCTAAAAACAAAACAAAACAATTGTGTTCAGAGGAGACGGAGACTCAAAAACACAMACATTTTCTGTCCCATACCTGGGGCCCGAGGGGTACCATGCCTCTCGGTGGGGTCATCCTCTGCATGGGCCCACCCATGTTTGGATGCCCTGGAAAAGAACAAACAAAAACAAAACATAAATATAATGTCTACATGGCATTATACTGTATATCCTGCTTTTTCATTTTTTTTACTTTACAAACTTTCCTGAAACATGAACATTAMGTTATTAAATCCAGCCTCTTTGTTAGAACAAAAGCTTGATTTAGCATAATCTCTGTTGGTGATTTTCAGTTCGAAGTATGCAGACCTTCCTTTAAGTTTCCTTCTTTTTATTTTTCACATTTGATAAATTCTCTGGGTCATTTCTTTCTAAATATATTTGAATGTCTGCCGGCAGCTGACAGCGCTGTATAAAACCTTTTTTCCCCAGAACATGTTCTGTGATTACCACTCTGACTCTTCAGAGATCAAAGGCACAATAATAGCCAAGATGACGGCACAGACAAAGAATAGGCCTGTCAGTGTAACAGCGTTGCTTTTTTCAACACCCTTTTCCCCATAAATCAGGTAAACTCTGCTACAAAAGAAATGAGATGATCAGCAGCTCCCCACCCAAAAAAAAAATAAAAATAAAAAAACTGATCCAGACTTGTTTTTCTTTGATTTTTCAAAGGATGATTTTTAGCTTTTCACCTGAACCTTACAAACCCCACTGTCATTTGTATGACACGGGGGTACTTTYTTCTCAGAGAAATATTTTGACAGTTAGTTCAAATTTACACCAGCTTTGTGTTTGTGTAGACCAGCAGACTGTTTCGGTGTGTACCTTGCTGTCTTGTGGGGTCCATCCCAGTGGGTAACATCGGCTGGCCTCCTGGAACTCCTCCAAGCCCCTACAAAACAACATGACTTACACTGTCACCCCCATCACAGTCATTGTTCACTTCTACCATCTCCTCAGGTCCAGGTCAGTGTGGCTCTCACCTGATTCGGTAGTCTGAGGGGCGGTCTGGGTCCTCCGGGGTATCGAGGTGACATGAATGGCTGAAAAACAGGCAAACATGGATTTAAATGAATAAATAAACTGATCAACCTTGAAAAACAAAAAAAAAAATTTGTGGATGCCGGGTTGCAAAACATGATTAGTAATTTAGTTTCTGATTATAGCAACAACAAAGTCAACCACATTTTAATCAAAATAAGTTTAACACTCAAGAACTAAAATGTTTTTAAAATATGTTTTTTTAAACATAATTTCAATGTAGAAGTTACCTGTGAGTTATTTGAAAATGTTTTTAAGGTGCTGATGTGTCTGGTAAAATAACCAAACTGTGGTCAGTAAAGTCTGGCTGCAGAGCTGGAGAAGCAGTTCTACAACGTTCCACTAGAGAGTGATGGACCTCTTTGTTTGACTTGGGTCATTTCCTTTCAGCTGCAAGACAAACCGTCTAAAGGTGCAGCTACAAACATCCCAGTCTGGACAAGTACAAAAATGTCTTTTARTATAGTTTTTTCTTTTCTGTTTGTGAACAGTGAATTTAAAACAGAAAGGTTTAGTAATAAGAGTCTGAATGCAGACTCACGTTTGAGTTTTTAAAAGCAGAGCATAGAAATGTCTTGGMAGGTTATCGATCTGTGTGTCGGATGCTGTCATCTGAATTTGACTGATAATGACAGTTAATCAATGTACAATGAGTGGAGTCCTTTAGACGTGACGTGAGGCAACTCTGCATGTGTGTTTGTGTCTTTTTTCTGCCTTGGATTTATTCCCTCTTCCACTCAGTTTTTTTTTCTATTACGGCACATCTATTGATATATATCACTGGATTGGACATCACGTGGTTTGAGATGTGCAGAGGTGCCACCATTGCTATATGATGATTGTGACTCAACATGAAACATATGTATACATGTTCAGAGCCCCAAGAAAAGGGAGATTAACACATCAGGAACTGAATGTTTTGCTATCAACTGCACCACATAACGAAAGTCACAGACAAAAGAACCAGAAACAACATTTCACACTTGAGCTTCTTCTGTACTTGCTGTAGTAAAGCAATCATTCATGGTCAGCTGTTCGGCAATACTYAATAGCTGCAGGCAGACGCACGTAACTTTAACAAAAGCAATCAATAAACAATTGTCAGTGCTACAAATGTAAGATGCATATATGCAGAATAAAACAGTACTAGTCAGTGTTTGTCATAGCTCTAATATAACAGGTACTGATATAATACAATATATATTTAATGTATAATGTTTACTACTGTTACATCAACTAATTAAGAGTTTGAGAACTGAGGACAGTAATTATTGAAGCTGGGTGGTGGAATTCTTTCCATTCTTGGTTGATGTACAACTTCAGTTGCCCACCACACCAGGGTCTCCGTTGTTGTATTATGTGCTTCATAATGCACCTCTTATTATCAGTGGGAGACATGTCTGGACTGCAGGCAGGACAGTAGTACCTGCACTCTTTCTAGAAAGCCACACTGTTGTAACAGGTGCAGAATGAGGTTTGGCATTGTCTTGCTGAAATAAGCAGGACGTCCCTGAAAAGACRTTACATGGATGGCAGCATGTGTTGCTCTAATGCTCATTAATGGAACCGTCACAGATGTGTAAGTTACCTATGCTATGGGCACTAATACACCCCCCATACCATCAGAGAGGCTGGCTTTGGAACTTTTTGATATCAATCCAGACAGTCCTTTTCCTCTTTGGCTCCAATGACACAACATCCATGAACAAAAACAATTTGAAATGTGGACTCATCAGATCACAAGACACTTTTCCACTCTGTGTTAGTCCAACAAGGTTCATGGATGCTC